CACCCTGTATAAGCGGAAATGTTGTGGCATATCGCATCGTATAACAGTTAAAGGTATACTATATTAATAAATACTATAAATTATTTTTTCTACCCCCACCTTTAAAACGCCCTTTATAGTACATGTTTCCATGACACTAAGTGACCTTTTAAATATACATTGACAAGTTGTGACTTTATGGCGCTTAAGTCACGGGCTGAAGTTAGCAACAGGTTTTTAGTCAGGGGCTGAAGTTAGCTTTAAGTTAGTTGACAGTTGTCAAATGTCATACAATCGTTAAAATAAAGTGCCTTGTAAAATAATACTAAATGTGAAAATTATTTTAGTATCTCAATACAAAAATACAAAAGTAATAAATAGTTTCTCAACGCCCATATTTGAAAAGTTTATATGAACATTGTATTGACTTTTCAATTGGTCGGCAGTAAACTACAACTTAAATTCGGGCACGGACTCCACTGTAAAGTCCTCATTAAACATTTTCACTGTGAAAAACTGTCAAGTTTATAGAAATACATTTCGATTTATAACCTTTATAAATTATAAATTATAATCTGTGTTTATAAAGTATAAAAATGTGACATTTGACGGTGACACACAGATTCCCCTATTGTTTCATAGAGTCCGAGCGTAGCTGTGATAATTCAAGAGTTAAAAATTTACCTACAGTGTAATGAGACAAGTCTAATTACGCAATTTTTCACTAGGTGTTTATAAAGTATAAAAATGTGACATTTGACGGTGACACACAGATTCCCCTATTGTTTCATAGAGTCCGAGCGTAGCTGTGATAATTCAAGAGTTAAAAATTTACCTACAGTGTAATGAGACAAGTCTAATTACGCAATTTTTCACTACCTACCTTAGACGATTAACAGTATTAACGAACAACCGATGGTTTATTTTTGAAATTGTGTGTCGCACTTTTAAATACAAACGTATAATTATGCAATAAATAAAAGCATCATTAGCGCAACGATAGCAGTTAGCTACTTTGTAAAGCAAATAAAAATATTTTAAGTATGCTTGTGCTTGGTTGGTTAATTTGTAAAAAAAATGACTAAAGTTGGATACATTATTTTTTTAAGCCTATAACAATTTTCATATTATAACACTTATAAGCCTAAACAGAAAGACATCATTTTTGCACGCAGTTCAAAAGTCACATAATTATACAGTATACACATACACATTATAAATTACATAGAAAGAGTGGTTTCATCTATCGCATTTAGCTCGAAATCAGCGCAAAATTACAGGTCAGGTAGATTAAATTCATACACAACATGTATTGTATACGTCAGACAACAAAATGTAGCAAACTCAATAATTTCAATGTAAGTAAGTAGGTACAGAATTATTAAACGCTTAAAAGAAAACACGGTGGAGAAAGCATATTAACTGCCTCGCCGAGCTCGGCTTTAAAAAGCAACTTCTCCGCCTGTTAAATAATGTACTAAAATCTTTTCCACATTGACAAGCTGTGACTTTATGGCGCTTTAGTCAAGTTTTAGTATTAAACACTCGCTCGCAAGCTCTCTATATTATCAGATACTAGACTGGCGTTTTAGTCACGGGCTGATGTTAGTAACTTATCTTTATTGTAAATTGAAAAAAAAGTGAGGTTAAATCCGTTGACAGTTGACAAATGTTAAATGTTTAACAAATAAAATTGTCTTTAAATTCTTCCTTGTATGCAACTCGTTTTTATTAACTTCTCTAGACACTCGTTTTTATTAAACAATCTCTTGCAAGCTTCGCTCGTGCCTAATAAAACTAACTGAAACTAACTAAAAAGGCATTTATAAAACTTGATATCTACACAATATACTATTAATGCATTAAAATTTATTTCAGCATAATTATAATAAACTACTTTTTCTACTTCCACCTTTAAAACGCCCATTATCGTACATGTTTCCATGACACCAAGTGACCTTTTAAATACACATTGACAAGTTCTGGCTTTATGGCTTTTAGTCACGGGCTGAAGTTAGTATTAATTTAGTTGACAGTTGTCAAATGTCATAGAATAAAGTGCCTTTCTTGTAAAATAATACTAAATGTAGAAATTATTTTATTATTTCAATACAAAAGTATTAAATAGTTTCTCAACGCCAATATTTTGATTTCGCCGGCAGTAAACTAAATTTAACTGATTGCGGGTAGATTCCACCGTGGAGTGCCTATGAAACATTATCTTTACTTTCACTGTAAAAAAACTGCTGCTACTGCTACTGCTTCTGCTTCTCGGATTGAGTAAGTCAATTTTTAAGGGATAAATTTCAATTTACACGTAAAAAATGTACACTTCACATCCTAAACAGAACAAGAAAATTGTTAGAATGGTTACTCTATTGTTTTATAGATGTCGCTCTTTATAAATATTTAATTTAAATCATTTTTAGATAATAAAAATTATTTGTCGTAGAAAAAGTATAGTATGCAACTCGTTTATAAATTTTTCTAGACACTCATTTAGTTAAGTTAAATTAAATTCGTTACTAAAATGGCGTTTATCAATCTTGATACATTATAAACTCTTTTTTCTACTTCCACCTTTAAAACGCCCTTTATCGTACATGTTTCCATGACACTAAGTGACCTTTAAAATACACATTGACAAGTTGTGGCTTTATGGCTTTAGTCACGGGCTGAAGTTAGCAACAGGTTTTTAGTCACGGACTGAAGTTAGTTTTAAGTTAGTTGACAGTTGTCAAATGTTATACAATCGTTAAAATAAGTGCCTTTATTGTAAAAGAATACTAAATGTGAAAATAATTTTATTATCTCAATATAAAAATACAAAAGTATTAAATAGTTTCTCAACGCAAATATTTGAAGGGTTTATATGAACATTGTACTGATCTTTTAATTTCGCCGGCAGTAAACTATAACTTAAATTTGGGCACGGACTCCACTGTAAAGTGCTCATAAAACATTTTCTTTACTTTCACTGTGAAAAACTGTCAATTTTCAAGAAATACATTTCGATTTATAACCTTTATAATCTGTGTTTATAAAATATAAAAATTTGACATTAGACGGTGACACACAGATTCCCGTATTGTTTCATAGATGGCGCTATATACAAATTTTTGATTTAAATCATTTTTAGATAATAATAAGTATTTGTCGTAGAAAAAGTATAGTATGCACCTCGTTTATAAACGTTTATCAAACTTGATACATAATATACTATTATAAAAATAAAAAGAAAATTAATTATTATTGTCTAGTTTCTTATGGAATGTAAAGTTTATATTTAGTCTTCTTTGACATCATTGTATGATATTTCACAATATTACGATTGAACTTGACGAACGACCACCACGTCATTAGTAGTTTTTACACAAGATTACTATTTTGTATTTATTTACTCGCTTTTATCGAAATTAGCCATACAAACAGGAAAGAGAAACATTTTAATCGTCTACAATAAAACTACATTAAGAAATACTAAACGGTGTTACTTTTTTTAATGAACTCGTATTTAAATACGCAGGTTAACACTTTCTGTTGCGAAAATGAATTACGTTTTAGTGAAGATGAGAAAACATTGTCAAATTCGGTATTTCTAGCTTTCCATGGTATTAACATTATAGCGTATGGATTGCTGTACAGTATATATTCCAAATTATTGTAATACATGTAGGTTTTAAAATTTTATTAATACAATTTAAATTAAACGCTCTAACGTTATTATCATGAAAATAATTTAATAGTATATTATTTATCGGATTTTACAAACGCCATTACGAGTTTTAATTAGGCATGAACGAAGCTTGAAAACTTTATAACAGTTGCATACTAAACTTTATCTACGACAAAGAATTTAAAAACAATTTTATTTGTTAAACATTTCACATATGAAAACTGTCAAAACAATTTAACCTTAATTTATACCAATTTACAATTAAGATAAAGATACTGCTTGTCAATGTGGGGGTAGAATCTACTTAGTAGATCATTAATATTCTGTGATTCGACATTCAAAAGTGATATTAGAACGTTATAGGTGTAGAAAAAAATGTTTAAAACGCCAATTATAGTTCATGTTTTCATGACACTAAAATTTAGTGTTATGAAAACATTGACTATGGCGTTTTACTCATGGGCTGAAGTTTGATTTAATGTCATACAATCGTCAAAATAAAGTGCAATACAAAATTATCAAATAGCTTCTGACACTGACTCCTAACACCAATTTTGTTTCCTCTATTTTTGTTTAGATGTCGCTCTATACAAATATTTAAATTGATTAGTAATAATATGTCGTAGAAAAAGTATAAACTCGTTTATAAAGTTTTCTATAGACACTCGCTCGTGCCTAATTAAAATTCGTGAATAAAATTGCGTTTATCGTACTTGATACATACCATATTCTTAGATTTGGGTAAGAATTTTCTTTTTGAATACATGACTTATGAACTTTTTAAAAGGGTAACCTACTACGATACTCCCGTATGATTTTTTAATAAAGTTTGTAAAAGTTTTCTTTATCATCTGTCAACTATAATACCTAGGTAACCTCATATGACTTTAAATTATTTTTATATTATATAATTAAATCGGTCCAACATTTTTATTTTGAAAAATCATTTTCTAAAATCAATTTAAAAGTTTAAAATGCTATTTTCTGAGAAGATATAAATTATTTTCCAAAATATTTAGTATATTTTATATAATAGTTGAAATATTCCCACAAAAATGCATTTTGGACTATAAAACTAATTTTATAAAATAATTTGTCAAAATTTCAACTTTTGGACTTGTGCTGTACTTAATTTCACCCATTCAATTTATAATAACCTTTTAAATGTGTAATATTTATGATTATCAAGCATGCAGCGTTGTCAAGTTGTTTAAACTTAAATGCCTAATAACTCGAAATTGTTTACAAACATTGAGTCACGTTCCAACTGCTAATACTTGCCTTAAGAGACATTTGGAAATACATTGTTTTGTGTTTTGGTATTTACATTATTTTTTTATTTCAGTTATGAACCTGAGCTTCATCCTGGTGTTACATACAAACTTACAACTCCAAAGGCAACATTAAAAATTTTTTCGACAGGGAGCGTTACAGTAACAGGTTAGTTTTTATATGGTTTTGTTTTAAACTGTAGAAGCATTTTATTTAAATTCAGATAACTGCAATTATTTTTTGTAATAAATAATGCAGAAATCAGTTTCTAAATATAAATTCTACCTTTTCCTTGCTTGTTTTTAAATTCCTTTTATGAAACCATTTATTTTACTTCAAAATTTTTACTTTTTGGAAGAACGGAAAATTAAATACTTTTGATTTCTCAAAAATTTTATTTTAATAGAAGAAGAGCCGGCAATATTAATGGGCATGTGATCGTTCCTAGAGACAATTTTCACATTAAACGAAAGTTTATAGTTGTCGAAACTAGGGATCGACCGATATGGATTTTTTGGCCGATACCGATTATCGGCCGATACCGATATATGCGATATCTATATCGGCCGATACCGATATATCGGCCTCATTTTTATTTTTTAATTATTATTTATTTTTGATTTTTTCGTAAAATACTTTGCAAAAAAATTAATGACTGAATGTGCCCTAGAAAATTTAGGTAGTCGTGGACACCTCCGAATTGACCAATAAGGACCGTGCGCTGTCCACCACGTGATTATCGCGTGGGAACGGGCCATGCGCTTGTCAAACGGCTGTTTTGTTTGTTGTTCTCATAGACAAAGTTCTTTGTTTTTCGATACGTGAATTAAGTTGAATGTCATGTCCAAAATAAAAGCACTACTTTTGATGAAATACAAGTACAACTAAACATGGGACCAAAAAAATGATTCAAGCTGTCAGCACTCGTTGGAACTCCGTGTATTATATGTTGGAGCGCCTCTTGGAATTGAAAAAAGCTATCAATCTCTTCATTGTGAACAATCCAAATTTGACTGATTTGAACTATCATGAGTGGGAACTGGTACAGAGCCTTATCAATCTATTGAAGCCCTTTGAAAAGATCACAAAAATCGTCAGTCACTCAAACTGTTGCATATCGGAAGTTATCCCACTCGTTTCAACACTTGAAGCTTATTTGGACAGTGAAGGAAGCAATTTCGCTGGCGTCGGAACAATGAAGGACGAATAAAAAAATAATTTGAAGCTTCGTTTCAAAGATGCAACTTCAAAAAATTATCTGTTGTTTGCCACGTTCCTGGACCCGCGCTTTAAAGGAAATTTTTTTACACCTAACAAATGCAAAATTGTTATTGCGGACCTTAAAAAAAAATACGAAATTATCCAAAAGCACGACGTCGAAGTGGTTGGGAGTGACAAAAATGACATTAGTAATGATATGTATCATTGGCAACTTTGATTTCATCAACTGCTATAGTCACGGCCAAATCTGTATGGGTGCACGTCATCAACGGCATATGACGTCAGCGTTAAGGTCTATTCATACGTGCCCAGACACAATCTAACGCTCGTGTATTGTTGACTGTTTATAGCGGTGGGGTCTGTTATTAAGATGGAATTATAACGTCCTTGTTATAATCTTCTGCACTAACTAATTAGGAGTTTGTTACAGGCAAATTTTTATTAAATGTGTTTAAAGAGAAAACAAACGGAGTTAATTACATTTTTATTACATATGCACATAACAAAAAAATTCTAAATTATCAGAAGCACAAAATATATAAATTACCAGTCGTCCTTGTCATCAGAGCAAACCAGGTCAGAATTGAAGTCTGATTATTTCCCCAAATTTATTATTAAGGGCGCAATGTCTTCGAAATCTAATAACGGCTAGTTGCCAACAAGCCTTATATCATTGTTTGCACAATCCAGGGATAGAATCTTATAAACATAATGTATAATATTATTTATAATAATTTGCAACAAACGATGCTTCCGGACGAAATGTCACAATTACAAAAATACGTCAAATATAAAATGACAGCGACCCATCAATAATATTGAACGGTGCGCGCCAGCCTTAAGCTATTACCAACTGGCACACACAAAAATTACTAAGTGAATGGTTTTATTTTGATAATTTCGTGAAAAAACGTTTTAAAACAAGGAAATTGTTACAGTTCTTGGTAAACAATACGCAAATGAATGATTTCTTTTTAATAACACATCAGAATTACGCCTTAAAAAAGCAAATATAACGGCAGTAACTTTACAATTCAAAGTTGGTAATGCTGACGTCATTATATCTCATTGATGACGTGCACCCATATAGATTTGGCCGTGACTATAGTGCAACACCACCACCATCTAAAAAAAAGAAAAGTAATGAAACCACCCGCGATTCCCACGAGCTATTTTGGTCAGTTTATAATGAATTGGCAAAAGATCCCTCTTCTTTAAAAGCTGAACCTACAAGGATCGAGGAAGAAATAAAGGGCTACAGCCTGTAGCCTACAGGTCGTGCTTGGTGCTCGAAAAAACTGAAAATCCTTTTAGTTGGTGGAATAATAAGAAAGACCTGTTCCCGGCCTTGTATTTGCTGGTCAAGATTTAACTTTCTGCGCCTGCTGGGAGTGTTGCTAGTGAGCAGCTTTCGCAAGCCGGTAATATTTACCAATCGGCGAGGAATCGGCTAACACCCGACAGGGCAGAAAGCCTTATTTTTCTTCATTACAATTTAGAAAAACTTAATTTTAATTATTAATAATTAATTCAAGAATTTTAAAACTGCTTTAGAATATTTTTTGTTTTTTTTTTAATTAAGAATTTTTTTATGTTTATTTATTTTTTGTTTTGTTATAAATAAAAGGTAATACGTTTATATGATTTTTAATTTTTCTATATTTCAAGATCATTCTGAATATAATTTTTAAGTGTTTTTAAGAAGCGTTTTCAAATTTAAATATCGGCCGACATATCGGCCAAATATAGGCCGATATACCGATATAGTATATCGGTATCGGTCGATCCCTAGTCGAAACCAAATGAAAAGGTGGGCTTTATTCCCATTGCCAGAAAGTTGTTTATAAAAAAATGTTTTTATTAATTTTTTGAAGAAAAAAATCAATACGCGCTACAAAAAAGTGCACCACCGTGTAGAGGTGGTTACCCCGCCCATTGCGGAAAACACGTTTATTTTTTGGATATTTAATGGATCATTCCTATGGCTAAAAATCGCGTGCAAGCCACTTTCAGCGCGATTTGAACTATTTATAACGATTCATTTCGTTCGAAAAATATTGAAAAGTAGAGTGCGGGCGACAACTTAAATTAAGATTACCACTATTTTCGGCAATAAAGATCAAGGCCACCCTATATATTCTCCAATAATATTATGACGTAATAAGGATATATCTACAAACTTTTAGCCATAGGAATAAAAAACGTTATGTAAAAAAAAATATAAAGTCAAAGCTGTAATTGTTGTATTTTTTTATAGTATTGTGTGTTTAAACAATTAAAATAATTATTGACGTGATGGAATCAGTCTCTTGATTATTTTTTATTTTTATAAACATTGAAAAAATGAATTGTCGGAAAACTTTCAAATCGCGCTAAAAATATGTTTTCCTCTTTGTAACTTGATCTTCCCGTATTATACTATACATCCTGCAATCCTGGAAGGCGAAGGCGAATGTACAGCTGTACTAGGTATTCAAAATTAAATTTTTAGAAACAAAAGAAAATCTTTAGCCGTCTATTGATATTTCTTTAGTTAACATTTTCTAGAAACAAATCAATTTTCAATTTGTTTATTAATTGAATAAAGTTGATTTAATTCTAATGCTGTGGGAAGCCTCTGAAATTTTGTCCCGATTCATTTCACATACTTGTTTGGATTTGGTTTCCATTAATTTAAAGCCCACAAACTTAAATAAATTCCATTTTGTATGATTTCGTTTTATGTGTTTATAAAGATTTAATTGCTTTTTAAAATTGCGAAATTGAAAAATAAATTTATACCTTTTCTTGAAAAATAAATAAATAGTAAACTTATTTCTAAGTTATTTATGTATGCTTCTTAGCAAAAAAAAATAAAATGTAGGAATGGTGGACGTTTTTTGAAATTTATAAAATGTTTATTTGTAAGCAATTATTCCATACAAATGTTTTTAATGAAAATTTAAATTTATTCTATTCTGTGCACTTATTTTTTCTACATAGCCGAATCGGTGTTGGGGCCGCGCTGCTTGGACTTGGACATCATTCACAACAATCAAACACTGATTCTCGACAATAGTACTTTTTATTACGATTATCTAACTAGACAAAACGATAGACGCTAAAGATTATACACACAATAGCTATTTGTGTATTAAGAGCGCAAGGTGATACATTGTCGCTTTGAGCGAGAGGTTTGACGCGCGACGCGTAGCGGAGCAAGGCTATCTCGCGAGAGCGGCAATGTCACTTTGCGCTCGAATTACACACAGGATTTTTTCTACAACCGGTGTTTCTATAAGAATGTTTGGTAAAAATTAATAATTATTGATAACCACAAATTTGAATTTTGTGTCAAAAGTCGCAAATACACTAAACGTTTCCTTTTTGCATCCTTATCTCTACGTTCCCATGATACCATAGCTACGTTTGGTGATAAGTAAGTCATCACCTTCACTAATGCATATTTATCAGACTGCAGTGCAAACATAATATCTGTTCCCCTAAAATCTATTTCTTAAGTCTTATTTATGATAAACAACACTCCTAATTTTACCAAATTGTTATTCTAATAAACACGCTAATCAAATTAATATCTATTCTCCGACATATATATATTCTTATCTACGTATTTTATGTTTATATGGGTTTTCCATGAAAAGAATTTCCTCGGACTTTTATATACACTCACCGGCAAAAAAACCGGCCACCAGAAATTGGCAAGAGTTTTAATGCGAATCGCCCATTTAATTTGGTTTATTTTTTATGTAGGTTGACTATTGTATCGATGCTATAGTAAACATTTTTATTTTGAATTTTATTTAGGCATATACAGGGTGCAAAAGTGAGAAGAAGTTTGTTGCCTGAAATTTGTGATACTCTGTGGATGTCAATTAAAATCATACTGTAGTCCTATCTTTTCTGAACATTTTATTTCTTTACGTTACGTTACGTTATTATATGAGTAC